GGTCTCACTCTTGCATTTCCCACCAAAAGGGGCGATAAGGTTTCCCTTATTATCAGTGTTTACGAAATAATAAACAATTTTTATGGATGAAGGAGTGTGAGCAAACTTTTACCGCATTAAAAGAGTTCTTATCCAACCCCTCAATCCTTTCAAAACTAGAAGTGAAAGAACTTTGCAACTTTATATAACGGTAACTGATCGAGCAGTGAGTTTGGCCCTACCCCAAGAGCTTGATGGGGTAATACGACCGATCTATTTCTTTAACAAGGTGCTACAAGCAACAGAAAGCAGATACCAAAAACTTGAATGAGCAACACTGTCATTCATAGTAACCGCTTGGAGATTAAGGCATTATTTTCAAAGTTTTATCATCGTTGTTAAGATCAACATATCGATAAAATAGGTATTACACAAACCTAACTTAGCAGGAAGAATGGTGAAATCGACAATTAAGTTATCAAAGTATGAAATAATGTATAAGTTGTGTGGCTCAGTAAAACGAAGTTCTTAGTCGACTTCGTGGCAGAACTCACTGCCATTGCGAGGGATGTTTCAGGAGAGTCCAAACGCAAAACCTAGGTGTTATCTGTGCACAGAGCATTCAAATTTGAATGGCAGTGAAGCAAGTATCATACTGGAGGTCCCGACTGGGATGATGATTAAGCAGTCACTTCATTTCGCATTCAAGGTTAGCAACAATCAAGCACAAGAATCAAAAGAGGGAGGCAACACAAGGAGCGACGAGAGAGTGATGAGGCTAAAATGAGGCATTGTAGAAGAAATATACATTGGAAGAGGAAGATGAAGGAGCAAAGAGGAAGACACATGTGATTCATGTGTGTGATGTGATTGAATGTGACGTTTCATCAGCAATAACAAGTGGCGAGTACCTTCCTGCCAAACCAAAAAGAAGTGACATCCGAGTTATTGTATGATGAAGAGGGCGGTAACCGATTTGTATAGAAGCCTGAGTCATGGCTTCACCCAGCTGTCGAGTTTTGGATGAGACGATAAGATTCTTTTTACTTGATTAAAGCTTCAACATTTTATAGTTGGGGTTGAGGAGTTATGTGGTGTCCAAATAATTCATCTTGACACTTGACCAACCAATCACCTGATGAGCCTTTCTCTTAAGGATATATTTTAAAAATCCCACCTAAAATCATGCTTGTTACCAAGAAGTTCATGTAATGAATAATAATTGAATGTTGGGTCTCACTTCACTACAAAAAAATATGTCATTTGTGACAGTTAAAATTGTAGATTTTAGGAGTTAAAAACCATTACAAACAAAATTTATAATAATTAATATAATTGTCATTTTTGCGGATGTCAAAAATGACTTGTGACGAAATTTTTTAAATGTTGGTATTTATGTAAAGAAAAAAAATCCAAAAGTTAAAAACCATCACAAAATGTATTATTATTCTCATTTTAATTTTATATTTTGTTGTAGTTTAAAATTGTTAAAAATATTACTTTTATGATTAATTTTATTTTTTAATAATTAAAAACAACTACAAAATATATAATATTTTATAATTATTTAAAATTTATTAGAGGTTTAAAAAACCGCCAAAAATTATTTTATTACTATTTTTTAATTATTTTATTCATAAATCAAAATTTTAATTATTATTTACAAATTATTTTTTAATAATTTTATAATTAATAATTAAAATACTTATTTTATTTAGAATTACTTTTAAAATATCATGTGTAAAAATAATTTTATCATTATAATGAAATCAATAATCTAAAAATATGGTATATTAGCTAAATTATTTATATAAAAAAAAACTAATTATATGTATAATATATTTTTCATTTGTTTTAATAATATAAAATATTAGTTTAATTCTCACTAAAAAATGACTAAATTTGTAATTTTTCGATATAATTCACTTTAACAAAATGCTTAGTTAAATACAATTTAATATCAACTAGGATAGAATTAAATTATAATCATATCATCCTATGAAATAAAAATCTTATCGTCTTAATTAAAAATGTTCATTTCAATTATAATCTCCTCAGATTTCAAAACATCATCATAGAGAATTTGTAATGTCATCAACTTCAGATCATCAACTTCCTACTAACTGGCAATGCATAATATTTTCCAGTGGATATCTCTTCGTGAAATGCTCTCCATTCATGAGCATTTGCATGTGCACTGGCTACCAAATATTGTATAAGAAAGACTGGTCATGTGAGTGGATCCAGCAAGCTCCATTCATTGCACCTGCAAATACACCAGACAAAATAACTTTTTAAAGATAACAATTTTCCCATATAAAATAATGAATCAAAAAAATGTGGTAGCAATGTTGTTGCAAAGTAGCAGAGAGTAGCTTTAGGAAGTTGTTATGGGATTCAAACAGTAGACTGATTTTCAATACCAGCCATTGCAGCTACCATAGTGACTTATTGCATGCTATAATAGCACCACATGATAAAGTGCCATAGACTTCAAAACCCTTCCCTAACACAATGTTGTTTATGTTGATTTGTAGTCACAATGAATCAGCAACAAGCATAGTTCACAAGCCTACCCAGCAAAACATGTCAAAATTGATAGAAATCCTATCAAATATGAAATTGTTTTAGGGGGTATCAAATTATTAATATCTTCTGTGTTCCAACATGACACCATGATGCATGAGCAACATCTAGGTTTGAATTCTTAATAAATAAACTAGGAATGATTATTATCTATTAACCATGTTGAGGGGAATGTTGAAGAAGATCTTGGTCATCATAGGAGGTGGCAGTTAATGCAAGTAGCTAACAATGTGGTATATTTATCGTAATTTCTTAGTTGTATCCTGATTGATGATAACTACTATAGGTTAGGAGTAATTTCATTTCTGTTTCCACTTTACCTTCTATGATTAGGGGGTAGCTTTAGCTTATTTTGCGTAAATTTGTATTCTCATAATAACAATAAGTAGAATTTCTTTCTAAAGCCTCTTTGATCACTAACTTTACAAACTTTATCAGAAAAATTTCTCCTAAAAGGTAGGTGCTCCAATGTCAGAGCCAATTACCCACACATTTGTGTTTGCTTCTTCATCCATCATTTAAAAGAAGTGACAACATAATTACTGGCATTTGCAAACTAAGTCAGCTCCTTTTGCTAAATACATGTTTTCAAGGAACGATAAAACTATAGGCCTAATGTTGAAAGAAATTTACCTTCAACAAAGTACTTGGTGATGATGCACCATGAGATATTGGTCCTGACTTTCTTCCATCAAGCTCACACAATTGACTTGCATATCATATAATGTAGAGAAATTAATCAGATGATTTTTTGGCAACGGCAAAAGTTGAACAACAAATTGAACTAGACATGAATAGGATCCTACATAATTTACTTATAGCCTTTTTATATAATTACTTCAGTGTTGTTGATAGAATCACATCTTGATATATTGTTTTTCTCTTTGTACGAAAACAACACAAACAAAATAACATTAATTCGTTATTTATATAAAGAAATTACCATCCACACAAGCAAAGCAGATGAAATAGTGTCCACATTATCTGATGTCTGCATTATAAACAAAAAGGTTGTAAGAGAAGAAGGAAAATTGTTTGGAAACAAACAATTTTGTTGTTGTAAGGGGAGGTGATTATTATCTTTATTCACAATACTATCCAAGTTTTGCCTCACAGTATAACAACATTAATATATGAGAAAAATCTTATAGTTATATCTCCTAAAACCTCAGTAAAAATTGAAAAATCATCCAACGAATGTACTATTAGTATAACACTTCATATTAATGGGTCCCACAGTTCAAGTATATTTTCCATTCAATTTTTCCATCTACATAAAAAAATTGCATGGAAAGATAATTTAAGAATTTGTTTACATATACAATAAAAATGTTTTTCCTCCTTAATGCAGTGTCACAATTTTAGCCTTTGTCCCATATAATTTTCACTTTTTTTCAATCTATCAATGAAGAAATTCGTCAAGATGAAAAAAACATTGTCCAATACATAAATGTAAGTAGTCTTTACCCCACAAGCTAAAGGATAGTTTCCAAGATTTGAACATGCAACCACCACATCTTAAGGCAGCAACCTTATTGTTACACCAGCACTTGCACTCAAGAAAGCCATTAAGATGAAGAGAAAAAAATTACAAAGGAATTTGGAGGATACGAGACCATAATGGAAAAATAAAAATAAAACAAGAAAAAGAATCAGGAGTTGCAAAGCATCCAATCCTCCATATATCTACTAAGAAAACCCTTTTAAAAAAGAAAGTGTTCTTCACACCAAATAGAAGTCGATAGCCTAATTTATCTCAGTAAGCAACTAGACCAAATAAACCCCCTTAAAAATAGGATTATTACTCTAACCAAATGCACCAAATATTGGCATATAATGCACATTGCCATAAAGCAATGTGGGTAAGTCATACAACTTCAATGAAGAAAAATCCAAGCAGGAAGTAGGATTTGACTCCAATGGGTTGGTATCTGTTCCTAATTTGTTTGTAATTAGTTTTCAGCTAAACATCTTAGTATAAACTGAGTTAAATCACAACTTTAACTTCATCATTTGTACAAATCTCTAGTCTAAAAGGCCAAATCTAATTTCCATGACTACTCATCATAGAAGAACCTAAAAAAACATGTTAAATGAAAATCCCTGCTTAAATATGAGCTTATCATATAAAACATTTTGTAGTTCAATATCAGCCTTAAGGTCAATGCAGTAGATAAGCCAAAAACATGAAAATCCAAGACAACAACCAATTTCTTAATCCTAAACTTGATTTCGTTGAATTCACATATGGTGTGGTAGTAAAACAATAAATCAAAAGAAAAACGAAAATAAAATAATATAGAAATAAAAAAGGGCTAAACAAATAAATCTAGGTATAGTGTGGTGTGACACTCGTTGTGGTTGTGTCTCTCCGATGACAGAAAACTAAAAAACAAGGCTCACTCTTACTTACATCATCGGTGTTCTTCAAGCAGATGGAACAGCAAACTCACTCCCTTGGCATCCCCTCTTCGTCCTCAATGATAATCCACGCCTCAGATCTCGTCATCGACGGTATCAACGTGGTCAACCCCGACCTTAATCTCGTCAAAGGTTACGTCTCTGTGAGAACATGGTGGAGGCTGTCTTTGACAATTTCATGGTCATTGTGGACGACATGAAACTCGTCAATGTTGCAACGGCAGGGGCCTCGCCATGCCGGTGGTTCAGTTCTGCTGCAAGTATAATCTAGATCTCCTCCAACAACTCTTCAAGGAGGAAGGATGTGATGCCAAATTGAGATTGGACAAATGTAGCAAACCCTATGTGACCCGATAATTTCAATTACACCGTGGATTTGTACTTTAAGACTCCAATTAGGGATTTACTCGCTGTTGATGTTGAAATCTCTGTTTTCGAAGACGTTGTCGAGCATGGGTTGGTCACGACCATGACCATCTGTCATGACAAATATGGGGCTAAAGGCAAGAATAAATGTGAGAAACGCATCTCAAAATATTGGAGTGAGAAGCTTTCGAAATTAGAAATATACATCAATGGAAATTGAACATAAAAAGATAATTAATATATTTTTTAACTTTAAATTAAAAATTAATTCATTGTAAAGGTTCAAATTAATTGTCACAATTGTATAACTTATAGCAGTTGATTAACACCGTCAAAATTTAACTTCTACTAAATAACATATTATTTGTAGTGCTTAGGGAAGCCCAGATCCAAGTGGAACAACTCATAAAATGAGGCATTACAGTTAAAGGAGGTAAGTTCACTGATAAAGAATAGTAACTTATCAAAATATAGAGATTTTTGAATAGTGACAACAAATAAACAACATTTTATGCATAAAAATAAGAGAATTAGGTCCACAATACGTAAAACTAAATATATAATCTCTTTCAAGAGTGTTCTTGCTTAAGTAGGACATCATTTTTATTAGAACACTTGAACAAGAAATAAACATGTGATTACTTCCTCAAATCTGGATATCTTACCGCTTAATATGCATGAATTTTTTGGTACTCCATACTCATTGGACACAATATCTTCTTAACATCATAATTGCGGGTTGGCAATGTGTTACCTTCAGGGAGCATGTCACTCAACAACTCAAGCAATTCTGTGAAACTTTTATCAGTCCACCCATTCTTTGCCTTCACATTGAACAATTTTAGTACCGCCGACAATCATGTGAACTTAGTACAATTTGTATACAAAGACTTTTTTGCATCATTGGACAACTTCTCGTACACATGTGTATGTTGGAAGGCATCTTGTCCAAGCTCACGAATCATTTCCTCCAGCTGATCATCCATCTCTAGATCAACTTCTTCTTTGTCTTCTACACTTGGCATGTTTAATGATTCACCATGCCATGTCCACTTTATGTAACTCTTTAGGAAACCATCACAAAGAACATGTTCCCGAATAACTTCAGTCGGTAATCTTTGCTCATTCAAGCAGTTAACACAAGGGCAATAGAATCTTCCATCATTATCTGGAACATTCATCTTAGCAAATTCAAGGAATTGTTCTACTCCACTCTCATATTCATTTGTTGTTCGTCTATAATTGATGCAACTCCGATCCATTGTTACCTTCTGTCACATAACACAACATATAAGTATAGTTTGAGGATGATAACATCCAACATGTTCTGCTGAAATTGCGATGTCACGTGATTGGATATGTTAATCTTTCAATAGGAAGTTCTGTCCTACAATGGATCATTTCATGACTGACTCCAATCAAGGCTAACCGTATTGTCTCACATTAGGGTGAGCATAAGCGATGATAGTTTTCACTTAAAATGAAATAACTACATTATAATACAAATCTAATTTTCAAAATCAAAATCACGAAAGAATGCCTACAAAAACACATTCAAATGACTAAACTACTTACAATACATCTCTAAATTAGCTAAAGGCACCCGTGATCTTTCCCTCTCTTGACAGCATTATTACTTACCAGATTCAAAACTGTAAACCTACAATGGCTAAAGCAAGCACGAAAACATACCTCTTGAAGACCTACAGAGGTGGCAGGTGGCGTGACGTGCAGAGCTGGGTGGGGAGAAACGTACACAGGCGACGGGCACCAACGACAGGTAGCAACAGCGGCACGACGTACGTAGTTGGCAGTGTGGCGTGACGAGCAAAGCCGGGTGGGGAGAAACGTACACAGGCGATAACGTTCGTAGAAGAGACGAGAGAGAACGGGGAGCTCTGCTATGGGTGAAGTGATGAAATGGAGCGTTGCAGCAGCGTAAAACAGAAGATACTATGTCGGTTGCCCTAATACCCGTCATCAAATACACTTTCTATGTCGGTTAAATTTTACCCGACTTTCTATGTCGGTTAAATGTTACCCGACATAGAAAGTGAACTTTCCACTTACTATGTCGGTTAAAATTTATCCGACATAGAAAGTTTATGATTTTATTACAAAATTGCCACCGCGCTACATACTATGACGGGTGGACTACGACCGTGATAAAAACTCGTCATAAAATGCTATTTTTCCACTAGTGAACTAAAATTATATAAAAATAAAACTTTGCATAATTCCTTAAAAAAAATTAATATAAGTCCAAATCAATTACACGTATCCTTACTACAAAAATGTACTAAAACATGTTATATATAATTGACGGCTGAATTTGTTTTCCTATCAACTTATTTCATTCCAAAATTACATTCTTACGACACAACTACGAATCTCATGCTAACAAGTTAGCATTATACAAAACATCCCAAATTTCAATCTAATTCCTTCCATAAACTACTATATAGTTAAATTACTAACTTCTCTCTTGTATCGAGCTTTTTTAAGTGGATGTTTTTCAAAATTTTCATATAATAGAGGACCTCTAAACATACTGTCGCCGCCGTCAAAACGAGGCGGTCGGAGCGACGCGATAGTTCCGACTTTCCAATTTTCGCGTTTTTATTGGTGGTTACAACGCCTTTAGGTTGTCCGATAACCGGGGTGAACCTAGGGGCGAGGTTTTCGAAAGGACGCTCTTGGATTGTCTGATAACCGGGCTAATCCAAGAGCTAGTTTTGAAGGGTTCTCTGGAGTCGCCACCGATGTTTTTACCGGAAACATCGGAAAAGGGGTTAAAAGGCGTTGGTTTTTGAAAAACCAACTTTGGTCGTTAGAACCAGAGTTGGGTAAGGGAGTTAGTTACGCGTAAAGGAAGTGTTAGTTCCTTTACGACGCCCCTTTCGGGTTTCCTATGATAGGCCAGCTATTTGAAAATAATTAAACCGGTGAAAAATACGCTTTTACCCTTTTATTTTTCGGAATTTAAATTTATAACTACATGACCCTAATATCTATTGCGTAATTTAAATAAAGCGGTAAAGTAGAGAGAGGGAGTAGAAACCTTCGAAGCAAGCTTTCTATTAATTCTTTTTGAAAATAGGGTGCTTTGCGGCAGCCCTTCACTCTACACAGCTTCGGAAACCTCTCGAAACGCTCAAAAAACACTCTTAGAAACGCTCAAAAACTCCGAAAATGCTTCGGAGGGGTTCTAGAGAGAATTTGAAGAGATTTCTAGAGAGAAGGAGGAAGAACTGTGTGGAATGAGGGGAATGAGGGCCCTATTTATAGGGATTCACACCTGTCAAGTCGAGACGGGCCGTCTCGTCTGACAAGGTCGAGACGGCGGTCTCGCCAATCGAGACGGCCGTCTCGCCTTGCAGGAATGGCAAGACGGCGGTCTCGCCATTCGCGAGTGGCAAGACGGCAGTCTCGCCAAACGAGACGGCGGTCTCGCCATTTGCACAAGGCGAGACGGCGGTCCCGAATCTGGGACGGCGGTCTCGACCTTAAAAGGCGAAAATTCTTATTTTTGTGCTAAAAATCTCTCCTATCCTAGTATGGGGCCTAATAGTCTCTCCTAGTGGCTTTTTAGGCTTCATTCATCTTCGAAAAAGAGGTCTTCTAGTATTTATTTTGAGGCCGGACAAGATTAGAGTTCTACAAATATTAATCAACAAATTAAACGCAACATCAATCAAATTTTATTTTTACTCGTAAACGACAACATGCAAATTGTTTACGACACATGCAAAACAAAAAACTCTACATACAATCAAACTAAAAAAAAAACTTATTTATACAAATTAAAACTATTATATGCTTAAATAAATATATATATATATATATATATATTAAAGAAAAATTAGAAATTTTAGAATTTTAAAAATGATGATTTTAAGAAACAAAATTTGAATATTTAAAATGTATATTTATAATTCTTTTAATTAAAACAATAAATATTCAAACTTATTTTAATTTAACCACTTTTCTCCCTAAACTATTAAAATATTTATCCTTACATTACTAAAAAATTTCACCCTCAAAAATTTCACTTACGAAAAATATATCTCTTTTTTTTTTCTAATTCTCATGTGGAGTTATCCCGCCAAAGTGAATTTAATTTTTTTTTCTAAACCCTAAAATCCTAACATGAAAAGACAATTTATTTAATTTATAATTTTACACTAAATATAAATAATATATCACAATTTAACAACAATCAAGAACTTAAATGATATATATATATATATATATATATATATATATATATATAATCATTTTTATTTATTTTACATATCTTATTTATTAATATTATATTTTTTTGTATTGAATTGTAAAAATTCACGTGAGAAAAGTCAGCTGACCCTTGAAATTAACTCAAATAGTTAACGGATTGGAAAAAAAAAATCTTCAATTCAAACATACTCAACAAAATAACCCACAATTCAAATGGACGTGGCAAAAAAAAAATTACGAACTCAAAATTTCAAATCACGAGTTACGGGTTTTGCAGATGGCTCATCAACTCAACTCTTTTGGTCAAACTATAGACAAGTTTGAGTGGTGGCTCGAAAATTTAAAATTATTTGTCATGCCTCATTAGAATTGAAATAGTATTTAGTAAAACAAAATATACTTAACTACGTGAAAATGAGATTAATAAAATTGATTATTATATTTTATTATAAATAATAAAATCAAATAATGAACTTCAAACACATAATTCATATAAAATTATGAAAAGTTTTCAAATGGTCTACAATATTAAATCTTAATTATTTATTTATAAATGTAAAATCTAATATATATATATATATATATATATATATATATATATAAAGAAACAAATAATTTTTTATTTAAGTTGTTTCAATTAAATGTATTTGATAAAACTTGATGGCACTGTTACAGTAAACAGGTTTAACAATGATTAAAAACAACCTACTATATCGGTTTTAGATTTTTAGATTCGTTATGATAGATACAATAATGAATTAAAACCGTCATTGTAGGTGAGCTATATTATAATGGTTATTTATAAATAATTATTGACTTAGTTTAACATAAAAAACAAGTTTAATTATATTATTGTTGAATTATTGCGCCCAAGATGTTTATGATATGAATCATTATCGTATATGTTTTTTTTTTAAATAAGTAATCTATTATATGACTCTATATAACCATTACTTGCATGTTCAATTACTTCAGTGAGATTTCTAACATATTTACAATATATGAGAAACATAAATATGTGCAATAGTTAATATTAATATTAGTTTGACTAGAATTTTATAAAGTCATTTTAAATATCTACAATGTAGAAGAATAATTAGCTAATTATTATAACGTTCAACTCAAAAATCATCATCATATATGTAATTTTTTTTAACAAAAAGTTAATTATCCTAATGTGTTAATTAAGTTAATGAAGTATGTTTGAGTAATATATTTTATGGCATTTGTATCCATGAGAGATGTGTCCATAAAAAATTATAATATTTTAAATAAGTTATAAGTATAATTATAACTAACTTTTTTGTGTATAAACATCTTTAAATAAATATTTGTCTTACCTTTTTCTATTTTTGTTTAGACAATAGTTGTCATCCATTGACATTATGTAATAATAACACTCATATCTTTTAGTTTGTATATTACATTGTTACTCATAATATAGAAATTAAATTAAGGTGTTGGTAACAAAAATAAACCAAAATAAATATTTATCATTATACCTTTAAATATAATTACGTGAACTTTTGTGGTCTTCTACTTTACCTACCACTCATTATGTTATATTTAGAAAAAACACTAATAATATATACACTTAATTAAATATAAAAACATAATTGTATTATCATTATCTATAAAAATAACCAAATTTTATTTACCAATCTGATATTTATTTAAGGAATATAGGCGGTTTCTTGTGCAACAAACAAAACCACGCAGTTGTGTTGTCAATCATAAATATGACAAGCAATTGTCTACAATGACTATACATTGAAATAGATTGAAATTAGTTATAATTGAAATTGATAAAGATAAATTATAAAGAGAATGTACTTACTCATAAATATATAGTACAAAATAAATCATTTTTTTCAATAAAAAAATATTTGTATGTATGTTTGTGTCTCTATTTTCTTATTATCCAAGGGTTAAATGAGTTAAGGATCTAAAAATCTATAAACTTCATATTTCCTCTCATTTACACACAATTGGGATAAATACCTATAATGAGTGACATAACAATTAATGAATTATTTCAATAACTAAAATAAAAAGAATCTTGGTTAAATAACTTATATCATCCACAACAACGACATAACGGGTATGTTGAGTTCTTGATTGCTTGGATGCAATCTATAATACACTAGACATGTGTAAAGTTTCATAGCACCTTAACTGGATTGGTACTAATAACACTAGCAACATCCAACAATTAATATAGATAAAGGGTCACTAGTAGTATATTGCATCTTCTTTTTCCCATCTTTTTGACACCATTGTTGCACATACATAATATTAATATTAAAAACAATATAATTAATAAACAAGAATCAACACATAGAATTGCTACTGTCATACTGTGATGTCTAATATGGGTCTAACTAGATGTTTAGGATAGGGAATGAAAGTTTGAAGTGTCTGTTTCACAATAGTAACTCATATGTTGACTTTACCATCACGAACTTTTTTTCACTCTCTTCTCATACTCATTAGTTATGCGGACACAATTAATCTAACTTTTGTCTATTTCTAGATTTTGTAATGCATATACAATTATATCATTCAATCAACAATGCAATTTGCTAAGGATTAGACATCTCTGGACTCAACACAAATTTGTCAAAAAAAGTCAAATATCAATATCAATATCACAATGTAAACAGTCAATTCATATAATCTTAATCTTAAGTTAAAATAATTATTTATTAGAGAGGAAGAATTTGAACTCTCACAAGAAAAGAAGGGAGGCAAAATGAGTTTCACATGCACAACACCAACGTCACATCACCATGGACCCACCACAAACTCACCACGAGCACACCGCAAGACCACCATGCGAACCCACATATGGATGTTACTCCCACAAACCACACACCTATACACCACCACACTTCACCAACTACCACGAAGACTATTACCACCACTAGCAAAGAGGGTGTGACATTACTACAATGAAAGATGGATTGTCATTATGAGAGAGGGATTGTCATTGAGGAGAAAGAACCAATCGTGGGAAAGAGGAAATGAGCGAGAAGGAGGGCGTGAGATAAGAAGAAAAGTAGGGTGAGACAAAAACAATAGTGATTCGAGGGATAAAAAAGATTGAGAAAGGCGTGACACATAAAAACAAAGGAAGAAAGTGGTGACTATGACAACAACTATTATTAATAATCATTGTCATATATCATATATAACGACAATTATTAAAAATCTGTCGTCAAATAATTATTCTCCAATATTTAACTATGTGTGTTTTATAACTGTCTTTATATATGTTATACAATAACAATTATTAAATAACTATTTTTATATAATTGGTTATAATTTCAAAAATATCATCATATTCAACTATAGATCTAAATAAATCATCATCAAAATTATATTTTGTACAATTAAATTATAATCGAAAATCTAGATGATATGATTAAATATTTTTTTAGTTTCTATAAATTAAGTTTTCATTAATATAAAAAAAAATAAGTTTTTAAAATTTAAAATAATCAGTTTATTATATCACACAAATAGTTACATTCAAACAAATAATACTAATGTTATAGTATAATATTAGTATATATCATTTAAAAAATATCGTAAGATATGTAAATAACTTTTTATCTGATTTAAAATGAATATTAAAGATTAAAAATTACAAATATTAAAACTAAAATTTATAACAAGAGTAAATGAGTGATTTTAAATAAGAATGAAAAATAAATAAATATATAAAATTATAAACCCAAACACAAGTCTTATTATTTTTCAGGTATTAAAAATATATTAAATTAATTTTAAAAAGATAATAATCACCATATCAATTTATTATCTTAATAAAAAGGAGAAATATAAAAAAAAGGACACAACGTAGAAATATAAATCATATAATTGACCCGAAACATATGACACAATGCAAACATTACATTGACCTGAAAGATGTATTTCTCCAAATTCCAAAAAGTAAAAATAAAATATGTAGAAATATTACAAGCAAGGACAGAATTAAAAATAAAATGAAGAAATATAAAACATATAATGGGTGAAATAATTGAATGAAGAGACGAGAAGAGACGAGAAGATTGAGAGAAGAAAAGGAGATGTGGAGATCTGGAAAACATGAAGCTGTGGGAGAAGAGAAACTGATTGACAATGAAATCGACAAATTCCTCAGGAGGCTATCGTGCGCCGCGATTGTAATAGCCTCCCTCACACTCCTCTTCCTCTTCCTCCGCACGCCCGACACGTGCGTCCCCCACCACGCTCCTCGCAAACCACAGCTCCGCTTCCCCAAGTCCACCTGCGACTTCTCCACGCGCCTCCACGTCCCCGCCGAGAAGCGTAGCCTCCGCATCCGCTCCACGCGCCTCTGGAAGACCAAGGTCCTCTCCTTCTCCCTCCTCTTCCGCGACCTCCGCCTCCTCCACAACCATTCCCGCGTCCTCTGCATCTCCGCCGGTGTCGGCCACGAGGTTGACGCTCTCCACCGCCTTGGCATCGACGACGTCACCGGCGTCGAGATCCTCGAGTCGCCGCCGCTAGTCGGCCGTGCCGATCCGCACAACCTCCCGTTCTTCGACGGCGCATTCGACCTCGCCTTCACCGCGCGCTTCGACGAGGCTCTGTTCCCAGCGCGCTTTGCCACAGAGATGGAGCGCGTGGTCAGGTCTGGCGGCGCGTGCTGCGTCCTCCTGGCGGAGTGCGGGGAAAATGAGGTAAGAGAGGTGGTTGGTTTGTTTAGGAATTCGAAGTTTGTTAGGTCTAGTAATGTTTCTTTGAGTGGAATTAGAATGACCAGTATTCTTTTGAGAACTATGGATAATTCTTCTTGATTCGTTGCCACTAGATCTTCTATTTTTTTATTTTTATTTTTTATGTATTTATGTGTATTAATTAGAGTGTAATTTTACTGTAAAATTTCTTAAACCGTGAAACAATTAGAAACCTAAGTCATAAACTTTATCATCTATTGCAATTCATCGTGAATAAGTAGTGTCTCAGCCATCTAATAACAAATTGTGATAAATTGTGATGAATGCTAAATGTGTTAAACTTTTATTGATAAGGAACAATATAATTAGTTGACGCTGAATCTTTGTTACATTGCCAGAGCATGGAAAATAAACTTATTGCTAATTGGATGACATTTTGGAAAAAATGTATCCTATTTGTTATTTGGTTGCATGTGTCTCGTATAATTAACATATTCATGTGCATGAACATTGTTGTTGTCTTATGGTTCACTTTTGCATCATCTGAATGCAATTCCTGTTTCACTTGGAAGTGTTGTGTTTAATGTTTTTCTAGGTTAATTAAAATTAAAAATGATGTTAATGAACCGTTCTAGCGACTTCATGATGCTATAATTTGATGTTTTTTGACTGGCAATTTGTGATGGGAGCGCTACGGCAGATTCATAGGCTGTAATGGTGTGTTTATATGGCAGAATTTTGGTCTTCCGCCATCTGCCGTTGATAACATTGGTTGTAACCATTATTTTGAAGACTAGATTTGGCCAGTCGACCGGTTCTCTTACATTTAGATATCCGGATTTTAATTGAATCGGGATAAGAAGGGAAAAATCAATATAATCGATTGAATTTTTGTTCGAACCAATTTTGATAAAAAAAAAATTAGGATCAAAACTTTTTAATATAATTTTTTATAAGAGATATAATATATTTTTATTTTTATTTTTTTAATCTCATATTAGTTATGATAATTGTAAATAATAATTATTTTTTTTATTTTAATAATTATTCATCTTATATTTTCTAATATATTTATATTTATAATTTTTATTATAATATTATATTAGTTTTTGTTATTTTTATTTTTTTATTAAAATTATTAATATCAATAAATTTATTATATATTTCTTATATTATAAAAATATCATTTTATTAAATTTGGTTGAATCCAATTAAATTCCGTTGATTCTTTAAATCCTGGAATATGTGATCGGTTTTTAAAACATTGGTTGTAACTGATCATTGAACTGTGTATGAATTTTTTGTTGTTCTTATCTTTAATGGAATCAAAGATGTCTGGGAATATCTGATTTTTGGATCTGCTAGAAGAATAATAGTTGTTCTTCATGTTGTAGTGTAGATGAAATTCTTAAAAGGTGATACAGGTCAATGTTAAGTCTGCAACTCATCAGCACTTATTCTGAATATTAGCTTTGGTTAATTTCTTTTACAGTTACGAGAGTGTTTCTCTTTTAGTCCTTTCTAGTTTTTTCTTTTTTATTAAGTACAGCCTTATAGTGTAGGCGTTAGGGAACTTTACTTGGAACGAAAATTGAAATACTGTTAATGCTGTGCCTTTTCTATATCATTCTTCAATAGTTACTTCATTATGAATGGTTTGTGGATCATACCCAGCTACAATGTGTCCTGATCCCAATTAGTTTGAGATGCATTATAAGTTCCTCTTCTGTTATTTAGTTACGAGCCTCAGTTGTGATCTTATATTTTGTTTGAGTTATAGGATCCTTTGATTGGATGGAATCTTTTGAAGTGGTAACTGTGATGACATTTATTCATGTATTATTCTTGAACGAAAATTCCTTATATTGAGAGTGATGATGTTGGAGTTCAGACTGGGAGAATCCAATTAGAGTTGAAAATTTGTAAAACAGCCTGTTAGACATCTTGAGCAATGATGTTCAGTAAGTTTGGTAAAAATGTACAGTAAAACCATCCAGTCCTGGAGCCCTAACCTTATTTAAGGAAAAGACCGCCTGCTGCCCCTCCTCACAATTAGGAATGCTAATAAGGATATTGTTATCATCAGATGTTATTCTTTGAATTACTGAATTCACGAAAAATTGGAAGAATTATTCATGGAATAAAGATTGGTATGATAATGCAATATGTGATCTCAATTAGAGTACCATCAGTATTTAAGATATCATTCATTTTCAAAGTAGTAACGCCGTCGAATTTAGCTCTATACTTAGCTATCATGTGGAAGAACTCTTATCACCTACCTTAAATTAGTTCATTCTAGTCTTATTTCTCCATAATATTTCCTCACAATTAATAGCTTCATTTAATTCATTTTGTGCGTTACTTTCCTCATCAATCAGTGAACTTGTCGGGCTTTTTGACAAGAATGGACATGGGACAGCCAAAATAAGTAGTACTCTCAAAACCATTTTAATTACCTTTTTGGAGCTTTGATGTTCAAACCACAAAGAAAGAACTTAAAAGATGCATGAAACTGCATATGAAGATTTTTATTGGTATAATTAGTTCGATTAACCTTTTTTTTTAGGAATAAATATTCTCTTCGTGATTATAGGTTCTCATGAAGACTATTGAGTTTTTTCTTTTATTGGATATGTTTATTTGCATGGTTACTAATTAAAAAACAGATAAATCGGTCAAAAATTGGAAAAATCAGAAAAATCAAATAGGTCAAGGGATTATTTGGGGTTTTTTTTTCTAAAAAAAAAGTGAAGAGGGAAAGTTTATTGTAGTGGTGGTTTTTTTTTTTTTTTTAATTGTAGTCTTCATTCTTGTAGTTGTTATCATAATTCATTATCTTTAATTGTTTCTTTTTCAATGTTACCTTGTTATTGTCTTGATCTATTGTTATCGTTATAATTATTTTGAAAATTAATTAACAATTTTGGAGATGTTTTGAATAATATTTTTTGATGGATTTTTAATGCATATTTTATGAAATAAAATTTGTAATTTTCTAATATTAGGGTATTTTAAAATTCTAAAATTGAGTACGAAAAGTAAAATTGATATTGATAAGTATATAGTGGAGTAACTTTCTTGAATTATTCTCGAGTTTTATAATTATGTCTTGAAATAAAATAAAATAAATTATATAAAATTTAGAGTTATGTATAATAGAATATATGATGTAATTTTTCCCTTTAATTTCTTTTAGGTTAGGTGTAGTTTTTTTTTTCTAATTGTTTTTAAGTTAGTTGCAATTTTTTTTCCTAATTATTTTTAAGTTAGTTGCAATGACAATTTTTTTCTCCAATTGCTTCGTATTCCAAGTATTTGATAATATGTTTATTTATGTTTCTTTTCATTTATGTATTTTACAAATTATTAATGTTCTGTCAAGGAACAAGAGTGTTTGATCTTATGTCCTGATGTGAACATGACCTATGATAAGGGATAGAGTAAGGGAAGCAAATGAAAGCGGAATTTTATTTATAAATATTAGAGTTTATCTCTTTTATCTTAGTGAGAGTGATTCTCTTAAGTTCTTGAGTGATTCAAAAACCTTTGAGCGATATCAAAAGACTTTTACATCCTTTGTGAGTTGTCTTCCTTAGAAAGAGTGATTCTTTCCTTCTATCTTATTACTAAATTCCTAAATTTTCTACAAGGTTCTAACCCTAAAGATCCTAAATCATCCCTTGTGATTCATATAATTTGATATTCAGAGTCCCGGTTTAAGGGTTTGAACATCAAATTGATGGCAGAAGAGGAAAATTACAATCAAGATGCAGGAATTAGTCCATTTCAAATAAGAGCATTGGTACAACATTTGGAAGGATTAATGATACGACATAACAATGAGCTTCATGAAAGATTGAACCGATTGGAGAATAGAGATCCCGAAGATGAAAAAGAAAGGAGAAATAGGAGAAGGAATAATGGAGTAGCAAGGTCAAGTAGGCTTGAAAGAGTCAAACTTAGCATTCTTCCGTTTAAAAGAAAAAGTGATCCGGAGGCATACTTGGAGTGGGAGATGAAAACAGAGCATGTTTTCTCATGCAATAATTATGAGGAGACCCAAAAGGTGAGGCTTGCAACTACGAAATTTTCTGACTATGTTCTTGTTTGGTGGAACAAGTTACAAAAGGATAGAGGTAGAAATGAAGAGTCAATGGTTGATACATGGACTAAGATGAAAATGATCATGAGGAAGCGGTATGTGCCGGCTAGTTATTCAAGGGACTTGAAATTTAAACTCTAAAAACTTATTCATAAGGAGGTTGAGGAGTATTTCAAGGAAATGGACATGTCCATGATTCAAGCAAAGATTGAAGAAGATAAAGATGTAATTATGACTCAATTTATTGGTAGTTTGAATATTGATATATGTGATATTGCTGAGTTACAAAAGTCTTAGTAGAAATAGGTGTAAAACTACTAGAAGTAACAATCTCATCTTTATTACCTTTATCCTTCGAACTTGAAGATCCAAAGTTGGTATAACTCTTCTCATCCACTTCTTTTTCTTTTGAATTGTTACTCTGTTCGAATTGCTTTATGAAGTAAATCCTCCGTATCAACAAACTCCGTAGATGAAAAAAATTGTTTTGAGTAATATTAATTTGGTGAGATATATAATTTTATACGTTGAGTTCATGAAAAGATGTTTATATAATATATTAATCTAGTTGAGATATCATAAATATAATTATATTTTATACTGTAAAATTTATGAAAAGAATATTATATTCTAAGAACAATTATTTTAAAAAGTATTAATATTTGAGATACACGGCTAAACATCTCATCTTATATATAGGCATAAATAAAAGGTTTTTCAAAGAGAAAAAAAAATTTCAAAATGAAATCTTATATAAGTATTACATAGAGTTAAAAAATAAAAATAAAAAAAAATAATAATAAAGTACATGAATAAAGATGCACCCCTAGGTCGTCTCACAAGCATGTGAGCGGATGTAAACTTTGATAAAGACTACGAAGAATTTTGTTCGATTATATTCATATAAATCCATAAGAATATCATTTATTTATTTATTATCATTTTTAAAAGAATATAAATACTTGATAGTTACTAATTAGATTTAAAAAAAAAATGTTTACGATGCAGACTAACTTTGTTAAATTGATCCTTTCTTTTTATTTGGAGAAAGAAATTTTTTTGTCTCTTCATATCTGTAAAATAATTATATCATTATGTTACATGGTCATGCATTGGAAGTCTAAAATGGTTTTATTCTATATTAAAAGTCGTGCGATGCAGAGCCATTTTAACTATATTATAAAATTGTAGGTAAGTATATAAATAATATTAATTTTAAAAATATTAAGTAGCAAATTTGTTATATAAAAATGGTTCAAACACGTATTTTGACAAAAATATATTTAACATAAATAATATAAAGGTTTATAAGCTTCGATAAGATATGATTATTTAAAAATAAAATATATCTCTATCATATATTTTATTTATGATTATTTTTATTAGATTATTGGAGGTCGGTAGGAAGATATGGGATTACGAAGAGATCGGTGCGACTTCAATAATTTTTTTTAAGAAAATTTAATATAATTTAAAATATTTATTTAATTTTATATAATATTAATTATTCTGTTAGCTTTTTAAATCCTTGTCGTTTAAGAAAAAGTTAATTTTATATCATATACATTATTAAGTGATTATATATTCATGTATAATTTTAATAAGAGAAAAGTTTGATCACATCTTAAATAATAATAAATGTATAGGATTAAAATTATGTCACTATTTTTTTTAAGTGAATTTTTGGCAATATGATAAATTATTTTTACGTTAATATTATTCTTAAATTCTAACCTATGCATTATTTAATTATTCGTTACAGCTTCTTTAGTTATTTAATCGAATAATTACTAATTTTAATTAATAATATATGAAAATTGAAAGAAAGTTGTTTGTATATACTAAACAACCATTTGGATTTTGGTAGTGTATGTCTGCTGACATCATACTATAAGATATTGATTAATAAAATAATACCGTATATCTATTATATATTATGGTTACTTAAAAAACACTAAAGATAATTAATAAATTGAGTTGAGATTGAAAAGAAAAATGAGAAAGTATTTTGTTAAAAAAATTAATTAATTAAATTTTATAAAAAAAAAAAGAGAAAGTAAAAGACCCATAAGCCATGATGGGAGGATAAGAAATTGAAATTTTATAAAAATGACATAGATAAATTAAAATTTATAAAGGAAAATAGAATAATATAGTGGTTCATTTATTTTATGTTTGGACCCATTACAAAATCTTTTTCCCACCAATGGCCCACTTTGCTGTTGGGGCAACATCATTGGGCTGGGGCCGCTACGATATGAAGAGACCAGTCAATGATTAATGTCTTTCAATCGTATTAAATTCAAACCACCTCTTCAAATAAATAAATATTATTATATTTATATCAATTACAGTACCATGTGCCACCTTCTAAGTCACACTCACATTTAAATTATGATTATAAACTTGTATTTATCATTAAAAAAAAAGTTACACGGTAATAATATTAATATAAATAATTTAAATTATATATTGTAAATTTTTTAATTATTAAATAATTATCTTAAAATTTATTTATTGAAGTGATTTTTTTAAATCATGATTTAAGTAATAAAGAATTGACATAGAAGACTGTGCATAATTAAAATAACAATTTGTCGAAATTGTTAAGCAGCTGGGAACACTTCTTTTGCTAATAATCTATTTGAAGATACTAACTTAGCTATCATCTTCTTCTTTATTTCCAAAAAGGAAAAAACAAACCAGAGAAGTACTCCATTGCAAAGTCTTGGAACCACCGACCTTTGCTAAAAAGTAGAAATGGATCCTCCACCCAGAATCTTGGACTACTAAAACAATTCAACAAAATCAAAGGGACCAGATAACCATTTGTATACGACAGTGCCTTTTTATTTTATCTTTTTCTGCTCTTGTTGAAATTATTGTCAAATGATATATTGTATTGTAATAAGAATAACATTAGTTGCTTCTATGAGGCTTCATCAAATAGTTGCTTCCATATATCAAGCACAGAAACCGATACTATTCTCTCCATTCTTTATCTAAAGCATGAAATCCTATTGCATAAGACTCCTCAACAACAAGATTACCATATGAACACCACTACTACTACTACTACCTATACAACATGTTAATCATAAAAGTAAAACCACCATTTACCCAACATCATAAAGCTACTTTCAATAAAATAGTTTAACACATACCAATAAATCATCTCAAGCTCAATATACAAATTTAATTGGTTATTGAAAACAATGTTAGTTTCTGATGGTTCCTCATTAAGAAAAAGCAGGGGTGTTGAGCAAAGGTAAAAAGGTAAAGTAGGTACGTTAACCACTTTTCTTTTCCATTTTGTGTCTCAGAAAAATGAGAATGTGAAAAAAGAAAAGAAAAAACAGAACAGGAAACAGACAGAGTACATAGAGAAGAAGATGCGGGGGACTCATTCTCACAGGAATTGGATTCATATATTTGATAGAAATGTATAGTCAGGGTAAAAATAATCAGAAACCAGTTGCAGTGTCATATTTAAGAGTTAAGGTAGCTAAAATTTAAATTAACAATTTTTACCGTATCAAACTATTTGCGATTGCACGACAATGTTAAATAAAACATTATAGAATTGGTCTGTATATTATTCAGAACAATATCACACAAATAATATCACACGAATATCAGTTGCTGCTACTGCATTTTAGCCAATTTCTACGTCCAGTATAATTCACTATATACTTCCCACTCAACAATTGTAAGGAAGAAAAAAAATCCAAAGAACAAAAGGATTGAAATAACTGAAGAAGATATTAGTGATTAGATTTAGATCAGTAACGAGTGTCCCTTCTCCTAGTAACCCGAATGTAGCAAAAAACAGCAGCAAAGATGGCAGTAACAAGGCCTCCAATGATGACACCTCCACCTGCCACGGACTTGTCCGAGGAATGGTGCTTTCCCAGCCTTCGACTCTGCGGAGCCTCAGCAAGTTCAGATTCTCCACTTTTCTCTTCTGATGATGGCTCATGATCTGTGGCACCAGAAACAACAACTTTGTTATAAGTCTTCTGATCGTGAAGCTGAACATCTGTTTGAGTTTTATGCTGAAAAGGGTTCAACACTGGGAGTGGTGCCGGTCCTTGATCAGAGTCATGAGCCCTGACATGAAGTACTAAGATCTGAGAGAGTAGCAAAAGAACCACACCAAACCTGTTCATTGTTAAGGAGATTGTGTGGTATTTGGTGCAACTAGTTTTTAATATTGGAAGGTGTGAGAAACTAGGATTTTGCGAGATAGAGGACGGAGTAAAAGGTGAGTGTTAAGGAGAAAGTCCTAATTAAGTGAATCAGTGGTTGCATCACACATGGGTTGGAGAGGGTTTAAATAGAGTGGGTGTGGAGTTTGAGAGAAAATCCAATGGATGGCTATGATATGATCTTGTTCTAGGGACGAACGTGTGGCTAGCCAGTGAAAATGGGTCCCTTGCAATTGCATTATATATATATATATGTTGTTATCTGTGAAAAGTTCGATCAGAACAGTTTGGCTTAGCATTAAAGATTCATAGCTGGCTTCTCTTCTTCTAATTCAATTTAGAATTCTTATTCTTATGCAGATATAGCAACATATTACTTTTGAAATAATATATTTTTTAAAATAGAATTAAATATTTATTGATAAATAATAATTATAACAAGTTTTTACTGAATATTAATTTTAACTATAATAAATAACTAAAATTAAATTATATACATTAAGTTTTTATTAATTTTGTGATGATGGAAAATCATCAATAACTTTAATATTTTAAAGACAAAATTTTAAAATAACTTATTTTTAAAGTAGAAGGAATAAAGATAAATTTAAAAAAAAAACATTTGTCTTAAAATATATATTATTTATTATTTTTTCTTTCGTTACATTTTTTTTATTTATATTTTTCTTTACCGTATCTATTACTTTCTCTCTTTACTTTTTCTCTTATCTTTCTAAATTTCTCAACTAATTTTCAAAATCTAACCCATTTTGGATATACTTTAATCCCCCGAGGGAAGGCAAGTTACTTTTGCTTAAGAACGAATGAAATGATCATGTGATTATACATTTATCATAATATTAAAGTTTCTTAAAATGTGATTATATAATTACTTATAAATATTAATCAGATATTAAAATTGACGTCATACATTAAAAATAATATTGACAAACATAATTTTAAGATTGAGTAAACTGAAATCTAAATTTGGAGATAATAATAAAATGTATACCAAGTATCCAACTTGAAATAGAAAGTATAGAAGACATGTCTCATCTGAATCTAACTTGAAGGGATAAGTGAACAAAAAGCCATATATGCATGCAAAAACGAGTGTTACCCTATAACAGGTGTTTTGGGTTAAGCATGGTTGAATCAAGTGTGGATTTGGAGAAATAGAATGAATAGGTAGTTTGGAAGAAAGGGAAAGGAGTAGTTGGCATAGCAGTGTAGGTGCTGGAAATTAGCAGGTGCATGCATGGTTTGATCTTCCATCACTTTCATTATCACCCATTCATTGTGGCATTCCATTCAAATTATCAATTATAATTAAATCACCCTAAACAGTAACCACTCATCTCAATCTCCTTCTTAACAAGTTTTACATAAATAGTTAATTATATCTTAAATATAAAGATTGAAGATTTAACATTATAAATAATATAAAAACATGGAGATATATATATATATATATATATATATATATATATATATATATATATATATATATATATATATATATATATATATATATATATATATATATAAACCATAAAGTCCCTCTCCTTCCCTAAAAAAATTGCTACATGCCTTTCATAAAAAGTTTTAAGGACACATACTAATTGATCAGTTTTGTTAGATATGGTACTAATTAAAGATTTAAAATACAAAATACTTAGTAACAATTGTTCTAAAATTTTAATTTATTAAACATTACAATTTTAGTAGAAGTTAGTATTATTATAGATTTAAACAATAACTCTATATTTCTCACATAATCCATTTCTAGAACCTACCAACACGACAAGTCAAACAAAAGACATATTGTTTAATTTAGGTTTTAGACTTGCTTGGTTTTACGCATTACAGCTCATTATACGCTACAATCCACCTTTATAAATAAAATATTAAAGGTGATAGATTTATAAAAAAATTAAAAAAAAATAATCAATATTAAATTAGTTTATTTATAAATTTTTAATATAATTTTAAAACGTTTATCTTTAATATATATTAATTAACTCTAACTTATAAAAAAAATAGTTATTTTTTTTCTTTTCCTAAGAACATCTTTATAAAACTTGGGAAACCATACACACATAATATAAAATATTAACAACATTAGTTTGACATTGATAAACATAAAAAATTGTTCTCACTTAATAATTTTTTTTTCTATTTTAGTTTTTCATAGCTAATTATTATATTATTATGTTACAAAATAAAAAGGATGAATCCTTATCAATTTCATTATGAATCTCTTCCTCTCATGTCTCTTTCCGGAAATTTAAAAAAATTGGTTGGGACGAAACATCAAGGATTAATTAATGTAATTTTATAAAAAAAAAAAAAAAAAAAAGACACAAAACCCATGATGGTAGGATAAGAAACCAAACCCATTCATGCCTCACACAATCTATGGTTAATTGATGCCGGTGGTTAGAAATGCAGAAATTATATAAACTGGACTCTGATATATTAATAAGTTATCGTAGAGGAATAATGTATGAAAAATATATATTATGATACAAAATTTTGTAAAGTGACCATAAAATATTCATGGATAAATAAGAGACACGTGTCAACGTTATTGTCTTACGTAAATTACTATTATTATGTTGTAAACGTGTGATACAGTATAGTTGAATGGAGTGGAGTATTTTGTTTCTATTAAATTATTGTGACGGCAGAGAGATGTCCCAAGATTCAGGATTCAAGATTTAGTGAACTTCGATCTTCAAATGGAGAATCTTGACCTAGTATTAGAGTTTTTTTTTAATTGTTTATGAAAACAAGTATTATAAATAGAAAAGTCTAAATTAAAAAATATATAAAATTGTATACTCTCGGAAAATTTATTTCATTAAAACAAATTGAGTATAAGTTTCTTAACCGTACATAAATAACATTTTTCAATGTATGAATGATTGAAGATGGTAGATTTTATGAATGAGGATTATGTTAGTGGCATGGTAGTTGTTGGTCCACATGTTTGGTGTTGTAACTTCAGCCTGGGACATGTACCTTGACCATCCCTAGAGTTCATTGGAAGTGAATGTTTTGGGTTCACGTGGGCCGTCGATGACTGGGCCCAGTTGTTTTTGGATGTCAGTAGAAGCCCAAGCAAGTAGCTGCATCGTATCCTTTCACGGTTTCAGATTGGGCTGTGCTCAAAACCATGCTGTTGGGGCGGTTGTTGTGGTGTCTTGTGACACTGTCACTGTGTCCTCTTTATGTTCTGTGACTTGCAAATTGGTTTCTTTCTCATGGATGGCTGAAGAGATCACGTTCGCAAGTGATCATACTGTTGAGGGAATCAAATTAGAGACACATTTTAGATACATTAAAATTGGAGACAAGCAATAAATTTAAAAGACATTTCTTTTTAATTTGGATTAGAAATAAAATTCAAATCAAATCACATCAAATTAGGATGAAGATTTCTCATGTTATACTTACAAAATATTAGTTACACATAATTGAAAGTTTTTCATGGCAGTTTCTCTTTTATACACAAATGCATACCAACAAATAACGATGTGGTTTGTCAAAGGGTTGATTAAGTTTAATAGAGTAAGACAAGGTCTCCTCATTATAAATTTTTATCTATAAAAAAATAAAACTTATTATTATTGTTTTTTATCGTCATTATATTTTATTACTTTCGCCAAGATTAAAGAATTAATAAATATATATTTTTCATGAGAAAATGTAACGAAATTGTATTAAAAATCACAGTAGAAGTATTATATTCTTCTATTAATAAAATTCTTTTAATGTTAAGTTTTTATGCAGTACTCTAAAGCTATTACCATTCCCCACTAAAACAATAAAAACATATTTAAAATGTGTAAATTAATATTAATCGTCATGGTATTAAAAACATGGATGCCCCTTCAAAGTGCATGTTAGACTTCAACTGGAAACATGTTTTACAGAGAAATCGGAAAGGTTAATAGCCATTTTGGTTTGCAGATAAAGAATCCAAATCACAAATATTTCATATCTTACTTTGCGCCAACTTCCAGTCTCGTGGACACTAATTTCACATATTTGCTGTTGCATTACTTATAATAAGTACAACTAATGCTACCACAAATGTTGCAAAGGCTAAAAAGTATATTGATGGTGTAATTGCAGTTGCAGTATAATCTCAGCATAAACCAACCATCCATGGTAATCCAAAGTACTGGAAATGGAAAATTTACGTTGGAACGAACAATTAACAGACTGATAGTTTACCATGACAACAAAAACAGGACTTGTCAGCTCTCATGATTCATGAAAGGCAACTTACATTTCACATCTAAAATTTAACAGAATGAACACTTTTCAACAACGTTAATTTTACAACAGCTAATGTCCAGGTACTAGTATCAAGATTCACTCATCCTAAGCTAATCATCCACTACCATGGCCGAATCAGAGTGTACAAAACTTACATCAAGACAATGGAAGATGCTCATGTTTCACACTTAAGGATAAGGATAGGCTTTCCATGTCATCATCCTTGGCTGTTTCTCCCCCCGAGTTGTTCGGAAAAATCATACATTCAGGACTCTCTGATATCATCAATGCAGAACCAGATTGACTAGCAGCTGGAGAATTTCTTGATGATTCCTCAGATAAAGTTGAAACTTCAATGTTGAGAAAGTTGAGGCGTGCACAAGAACCATACATTGCCCTAGCTGCTTCATCATACGCTAGAGCAGCACTAATGGCAGTGGGAAAAGTACCCAACCAGAGCCTACTCCCTCTGTTTGGCTCCCGGATTTCAGCAACCCATTTTCCCCAAGTCCTTTGCCTAACTCCTCGGAAGTTACAGCGTGAGTTCTCAGGCCCTCCTTTACCTTTCATACACCCCTTCTTTGATCCTTTGGCAGGAACTTTCCTAACTGGCTTCTCAGCTTCATTGCTAGATTCAAGCCAAACATTGTATTCTTTCCATCTCGCCAGTGTATCGGCCAGGGACTTGGATCCATCCCCTTTATTGTTGCTTTTCACTAACATGTAGTGCATGCAAGTTGCACTCCTTACCGTCCAGGAAAAATGCTAAGACCGCACTCGAATCACAGACCTGCATAATTAGAAACAAGACCAAACTTTTATATATGTAATATACTTATAAGTTTAATTTTCATGCACTGCAGGCAGTGTAAAGATTTCTACCCAGTCTATCAATCATAATCCATCCTAGTTTTGATTTTTAAAATGGTTAGCGTAAATAACAATTTGATCATACATGATGAATTGTTTGTGTATGATAGAATAATTTGCCAATGAATAGCACTATCTCAAAAACATTTATACTAACACTGCATCCTAATTAAATTCTAAAATAGATAACAAAAATTGTAATCTAGATATGATGGTTAACAAGGAATACATAATTAAACGCATGCATAACCTTCCAAAGCCCTTGGTGAGTGTTAGTATTTATCAATGTTTAGTCAAATCTTAAATGTTTCTCCAATGCAATTGGTAATTTACTGATTCCAGGTTCATCAATCCTAAATTTAAAGAAACATCATTCACTCATAAAAAATAAAACAGCACATGCAATGCAAAACCACTGTGAGTGAATGTAGTTTGAAGGTCAAAATTTGAAACCAGTGACATTGTTGTGGCCAAAAAACAAAAAGTAACCTCCTTTTACAAAGAGTGAAAAGAAATATGTTATGATTTGCGGAATAAAAATAGTGTAGGATGAATGAGTGACCTCAGTGGCGACCGAAATCTTCGTAATATGGATCGAAATAAGAGCGACCCAGATAGCATTTGGGGAAGGAGTTTCCGTTTGCGCGTTCAATTTGGAAACTTTGCGATACCGAATTGGTGTTCGAAGAAGAAGGAATAATTAAGGAAAGCGTCAATCATGGCATGATTCAATTGGGGCAAAATGAAGTAGGGTTCACCTGTAGTCGACTTTGCTTACTATTTCCACGGCGATAAAGACAACGACATCAAAACCTCTGTACAGCATTACTACATGTTACAAATATTCCATCACTGACAGAAAGACTTACATTATTATCTAACTATATGTAGTTATCCATAATTGTTAATTTTTTCTTTACACAATTTTTACAATTTTTAACTAATTTTTATTACGGTAAAATATGTGGACACCATAGATATTTATATTTCCACTAGAGTTTTATTTTTATAACAAAATTTTAGTTAAAGACATTTTATATCACAAAGTATCTTTAATCATTTATCAAAAATTATCTTCTTAAAGAGATCTTAGTGTATTGTAATTATTGAGACTAATCTTTCTAGGAGAGCTTAAGCTCATGCATAGAGACATAAAAGGTTATGTGATTACTTACTCTTTTAAAAATAATGTTCAGGTTTTTTAAATTTTTAAAAATTATTTAACTGTTTTATGAAAATATTTTTTTAAATTAATTTTATTTTTACTTTTTAAAAATTAAAAACTAAAATTGATAAAATCTCCTTTTTGTTTTCATTAATAATATATATTCTCACTAATATTTATTATATCATCATAATTTTTTTTTACCATAGTTTTTCATAGTCGGATATCTAAAATAATTTGTAATATATAATTATTAAATTTTTGTTAAATTGTTGTAGAAAATATTTTTAAATTGACTTATACAATTATTTTTTAAAATTAAAAATAAACCTAAATCCTTTTCAACTCAACCTAACTAGCTTTTTTATATTATGCATTGTGAATCAATTGTTAAATATTGAAATATTGTTTTAATTAAGCAAAACATTTAACAATTTCTCAATCTAGGAGTATCTTTGAAAACTTTCTATCTATATATTTGTTGATATGAGTATATTATTAATGTATATATTTTTCAAACATGAAAAAATAAAAATAAAGAAAATGACCATGATAAAAGAAATGTCTGCACTCTGACAGGTTCCCTACGTATATCATGTGCAATGCTATGGACATCATCCATGGCTCGTACGAAGTTATGATCAAAATTGAAGTTTGAATATATATATATATATATATATATATATATATATATGTGTGTGTGTGTGTGTGTGTGTGTGTGTGTGTGTATGTATAAAATAATAATTAGATTGTAAAGATAATAAAAATAAAATAATGCAGGCATTAGTGTACAAGTAAAAGAGCATCTTTGGAAAGTTTTTTCCTTTTAATATTTCAGCTGTTTTTAGTGAAAAATAATCTATTTAAAATTAAGTGGAATATTTACTATCTATTGAATTTTTTTATTTTACTAAAAAATTAGTTACTTTTATGGATATATAGAATAAAATTATGACTAATTTTGAACAATTTTTCTTTATATGAAAACATTTATTTTATACATAAAAAAATAATTATCCAATTTTTATAATTTTCCTGAACCATCTTAAGTATATCCTTTTATCTTTGTTTAAAAACGTGCTAAAATTCATGCCACCTACGTCATGTCTTTTCCAGTCATTTAAATTTGTTTTTGTTGGTAATTAATAATTAATAAAACAATGTTATTCAAAAAATAAAAAGTAATACAAAGCACATCAATAATGTTATCATCCCCACTTATTTAGATATTTTTGTTCCATTGAAATGTGTTTGATTACACCGTGGATCTTGACATTTCCTAGGTAATAATTTTTATTTGATGCGACCATGCACATTATATTTCATAAATTTGGTTTCAACATAAGATTTTATAATAATATATATTTTCATAAATTTTTATTTGTATTTTACTTTTTTTTTAGTTTAAAATGTAAGATTAGATACTTGAATAGTTAAAAAAAAAATAGTTAAATGAGTACAAATTTGAAGTTTTATCTAAAACTTAAGAAAGTTCAATTTTTATCATTTTCTAGATCAAGATCTAAGAACATCATTGTGCTCTTAGAAGTAAGAGAAACATTTTCATGCAATTATAATTTTAAATAAAATAAGTTTTTTTTTTCCAATTTTAAGAGTATTTTTACAACTTTGGGACTAAGGTTTGTGTGTGGGCATTCGAGTCTTACATATAATTTTGGTGGGGTAAAAATGAATCTTAACTAGTTTAGGAGTATTGTATTATGTTCAATTTGTTAATTAAGATTTTCTGTGAGCAGGATCTAATTTCCTAAGAAATTAGGGATTTGGAGTTTTCAAACTTGAGAGTATTAACTAGAAGGTAAGGGAAGTTAGTAAATATTCAATTTTCATAGTACTCTAGACTAAAAGATATGAATTGTAAAGGTGAATTGGTCACATTATTTAAGTTCCAGAAAGTTGGATTGTGTGATTGTGTATGTGTTAGATGATGATTATATTGAATGTGAATGTATAATTAATTTATATGAGATTGAAAAAGATATTCTTTTGTATGAATGTATTGTTCTTAGATTGAAATTAGTTAATTGATTTACCATAAGGAGGGTAAGGTTTAGAATTAATTTGATTTGGAACCTTAGAAACAAGGTATTGAGTTATTGTCATGAATCCGTCGAACAAATTTAAGATAGTATTGGAAGTGTTTGCTAAGTCGAACAAATTTAAGATAGTATTGGAAGCGTTTGCAATTCGTTTAGCGCTTTCAAAATCGCTTAGCGAATTTAAGATAGTGTTGAAAACGCTTGCAATCCGCTTAGCATTTTCAAAATCACCCAGCGAATTTTGGATAGTGTTGGAGGTTTCATTATGTCAAAATTTCACTCAGTGCTTTCATGTTTGTTCAGCAGTTTTTGAAAAAAAAAAAAACTTTGAACTTCAAATTTAATGTTCTATATATAAAAATCAAAATTCCGAAAATAAGGAATCCAACAAAATAAAAATTAGTTAAATACAACAAAATAAAAATTAGTTAAATAGAATGTCTATAGAAAAAGTTATGATCAAAGGAATAGGTAGATGCCAAATAAAAAAAACTATGTTTTGTTATAATATGATAAATGATGTATATATGTCTTAAGTTATTAAAATACATGTTATGAATATGAAATAATGTGTGTTGGGTACTAATATATGTATAGAAAAAATATATTGTTGAAATGTAAGAAATATCATTACTATTTTATATGTATGTTATCTTTGTAATGAATTGATAAAGCTAACATAGTAATTTTTAAAGAAGAGATACTAGGTTAAGATATAAGTAATGTATTGAATTTGAAGGAGATATACTAACTCTACTGATACTGGATTCACGTAGAGAAAAATATTAGGTGTGAGAGTTGAATGAGGTTTTTATGACTTAGCTTGTAGTATGAAAAAGAATGGTATTTGACAAGTGAATTTATCTTGTCACATGAGAGAACATGTTCCAATTATGTACCTATGTTGAAGATATTCACATAGGGAAGATAGTGTAATAGGTGCAAATATCTGAGTCTAATTCAATGCATGAGTGTCTTTCGGAATTAGAGTCAAGTGTCTATGATTATGAAAATCAGTATATGATGACACGAGATGTAACTTACATGTTGAGATATTAGACACTTGATTTGTTGAATAGTTGTAGTACTTGATTTATTTATTCAGATGTGAATGTTGAGAATATGAGTCTGTATTTACGTGTGATATGATATATGAAAACTTGAAGTTGAATTATGTTATTTTATCTCATATTTTTAATCTTGTATATTTAAATTAAATTACTAGTTTATCCTATGTGTGTTTTAACTGTGATGAACGTATATTTACACGGAAACAAATTTTTCACGTGATAAACGTCAGCAGGAGTAGGTCAGATAGTTAAAAGTAATATAGATTTATATTTTGTTTATTTTTAAAATAATAAATATGTACAAATATATATTTTGAATCACATCTCAGTTATATATATACACATTATTGGGATTCTTGCGTAAAACATTAGCTTAATATTTAAAATTATTATTAAAATTAATAATAAGGTTATATTTTATTATTTAAATTAATGATCTTATATAAAATTAAATTATTAATTTTAAAACTTCTACATAAATTATTTTATGTTTAATCTTTGAAATTATTAAAATTTTAAAATTAGTATCTCAATTTAAGATTTATCATTTATAAATGTAGTTAATTAATAATAATATTAATATATTAACATTATACATTAAACAAAATATCTAAAATAAATTACATCTTAAATTTCATCAAATCCTTATTTTCAATTTTTTTTGTTTTTTTATGTGATTTGCATATTGTTAGTGGCAAATCGAGAAAGCGATCGAAATCGAAGGGAAGAAATATGACTCGATAAGATAAACAAAAGTTCATCCGATGTCTAATTAGAAATACATAGCATATAGCATCGAGAAACACAATCGAGAATCGAATGAATTATAATCAAATGACTGTTGTCGAATAAAAACTAAGTCATATAAGATCAGGGTTAAAAAGGAATCGTGAGCAATTCGAAGTTCTCGAAAAATATAGAATCGAGAGTAAAGAAAGCCAATGGGGACATCGAGACTTTGGCCAAATTGTGAAGGGAAGTAAGTCGAATGCACGTATAGAGAGCAATTTTGAAATCATGGGTAAAAGTCGGAGATCGTGAGAACGTGGGAAACTATAGAAGATAAACTGCCATATGCACGTAGAACGTAGTAGCAGTCGCGTTAACTGCTCTCGGAAAGCTTGAAGGATGCCCTATAAATAGAGCAAAGGAGAAAGGAACAGGGGGGCAGAAATTGGCAGAGAACAAGATCAGTAGTGAAAAGTCTACCGGAGAAACGACGAACACCATGAAGCTTCTGGCAATCTGGATTTCTTTGCTCACTGAGTACATTTACCGCTTTCTGTATTTTCCTTGGTAATTTACTTTGATGCATCTTAAATTCAGCGGTTTTATGTTTCTGTATTTCGATTCCTTGTCCATTTCAATTCAATGAAAATTTGAGTTTCTGCATTTAGATTTCCTGTTATTTAACATTCTGCAAATCTCAATTTCCTGTCATTTACTTTTCTTGCAATCTCGATTTCTTGTCATTTATATTTGCTTTGTTTTCGATTTCTCGCTATTTACAAATAATGCAAGTTTGGGGTTC